TCAAGGAGGAGAGGGGCTGCCCTCAGGCCTTTGGAGCCAGTGGCAAAGGTATGGAGTTGAGATGTGCATGACGTGGCCCCTGGCACAATCAGGGATGGGAGCAGAGACTATCAATATTGGCCTGACCGTGCCAGAGGAGGGAACAGGGGCTCAGGAGGAAGCTGGGCCAGAGGCAGGGGATTGCTAGGGGTCTCGAATTGGGGGCTAGGGGCGCCGGAGGTGGATAGAGGGCCTACATGCTGCTCTCCTTGCCTCAGAGCTGTCCTGGGTGGCAGCTGAGGTGGGGCTAGGAGAGGAGGGAGAAGGGCAGGGAGGGGGACTGCCCAGCTGGAAGAGGCCTTGTCTAATTGTGCCTGATTAGTAGAGAGGAAGAGAACAGGGCGAGTGATTAATAGTCGCGGCAGTCACCAGCATGTGTGGAAGGAGGGTTGGGAGGGGGAGGGAACTCAGAGCTGAGAGAGAATAGAGACAGTGAAGCGCCCACAGGTCCCTGGCCACCCGCCCCTCCAGGGGCTGCTTGGACCCGGGAAGATCCCACAGAGAAGGGTAGGGTCTTATCCCTGCCTCCTCAAGGTTTCTCCATCTCCCCCATGCCTCAATTTCCAAGACAATAGAACGGAAAAGACCAAGGTCATGTCCTGTACCTGGAAAGAAAGGTGTATTGCTCGTGTGGTGTTTCCGGACACCTTGATGTCCCCAAACACAGGCCCTCTCCTCAGCTGAAACCTCAGCTCAGAGATCAGATGCTGGGCTTCCGATCCCAGCACACGGCATTGCCTTATATCCTTTGATACCAGTTGGAGTTCCTAGCCTCACCCAGTCTGGTGGTCTGAGCCTCTTGCATAGGACCAGAGCTGTACTGTTCAATACAGCAGCCACTAGCCATGTGCGGCCATTTGAATTGAACATTCCTTTTTCTCTGTCATACTAATCACATTTCCGATGCTCAGTAGCCATTGTGGCTAGTTACCACCATGTGGGGCAGCACGGATACAAAACATTTCCATTATCACAGAATGTTCTGTGGGATAGCACTGATGGCTCATGTGTGTGCACACTCCTGCACCTGTGCATGTGTGCATGAATATTTGGGAGGGTTGGATAGCATGGGGACACTGTAATAGGGGAAGGGAAGAGTGTGAGGCTGAGGGTCTAGAAAGGGGAAAGGCTGGGCGATGGAGGGTGACGAAGGTGCTGGCACCTGGGTCAGAAAACAGCAGGTGATGCTGGGAACGGTCAGGTCAAAGGGAGCCAGGAGTTGGGGTGGCGGCATTATAACAGCTGACACTTCCAGAGTGCACACTATACGCATGCCGGGCAGTGTGCTAAGCCATCTCTTTAATCCTCACAACCACCTAGATGTTTAAGTTCTAATATTCTATTTAATAACTATGGAAACTGATGCTTATGGAAGCTTTTTGACTTCTCCAAGGGCACACAGCTGAAAGGGTCAAGCCAGGGTTCAAATCCACATGGTCTGGCTCCAGAACCTACACACTTGGCCGCCCCACCATATAAGTCCCCAGCCGAGAAGAGATGCTAAATTTTAGAGCCACCTTTGCAATTTACAGAGCTAAAGAAATGAAGCCTAGGGAGAAAGAGTAATTTCTGCCTTCTAGTAAGTGGGCAGGCTGATAGCAAGCTGCAATGGGGAAAGTCTAGATGGGGCTTGGAGCCCTGGGGCAGAGGAGCAGGTGGTAGGAGGAAACTGGGAGGAAGGGGAGGACATACAGGTAGTGATGAAGGTAGGAGGTTGGCATGAGACTGGGTGAGTAGGGGGAAAGGAGAGAAGAGCTGGGTGGGCTAGGTGGAGGGGAGCAGGGGTGGAGAGGCGAGAGCATCCTCACAACCCAGGAGCCCTCTCTCCAAATCTTGTCTAACCCAGCCTGGCTCATCCCCTAAGCCTTCCCAGCTCTCTTCAGCCCAGAGTGTCCTCCCTCCCTGAACCCAGGCTCTTACTATCCATGTACCTAGTTTAGCAGTTAATCCTGGCACCACACAAAACCACATGACTTACGCAGCTGGTTAATTCTTGCATCGTTGGGTAAGCTTTTGCGTGTTCCTGTCCCCACTCCGTCATGAGACTATAGGCTGCTTGAGGACAGGGATTAGGGACTAGGGCTTCTCTTCTTTGTTTTTCCTCCCGCAGCACCTGGCAGGGAGCCTGGCGCATGGCAGGCGCCATGTTGACTGATTGAGTGAGTGACTGATTGGGAGTCAGTGAGGGGATATCAGGGAGCGTGGGGTAGGGGGGCGGGGAGCAATCACAGTGGTAACAGAAGCAAGAGAAGCAGCTTAGGGGACTGGGGGAGGGCACATTACCCGGAGTAAAAATAGGCTGGAAAATGTGACATTTATTAACTTGGATTCCAGAGGAAAGGTCACAGCAGAGTGGGGAGTAGAAAGGAGGAAACAGGGAAAGAAACGGAAAATACACAACAGCCCCTTACTCAAAGCCATTCTCTGTCACTGACCATTTCACCACCCACACCCTCGCGGGTTCTCCACCCACTGGTCCCGGCACCCATCTCTCCACCAGAGGTCCCAAACCCCTATCATGGCCCCATGTTCTCACCACAGAGTTCATCATGGACCTCGTGTCCTCATCAGAGACCCTATGTCTTCGTCTTCATACCTCTTCTCCCATTTTTCCCCCACAATACACTCCATTTTGCCCATTGCTACGGATCATGGGCCCCCATCCCAACCCATAATCCTAGACCTTGAGAATTTGCAGCAGTCTCAGCCCTAAAATGCCAGATCCAACACTCAGTTACACTCAGCAGATGAGAGTAGGGTACAGGCCGAAGGCTATGGGGTCGAGGCTGGGCAGGGGACAGGGAGAGCAGGATCCAAAGGGAAATTCCTGTTCCTCAATGCTCGCTCTGCCCCTCTGCCCCTCACCGTCCTGCCACAGCCCCGGAGCTGAGGCCCACAGTCTTGTGCTGTCCTCCTCTCTCCAGTGCCGTGCACGAAAGGGCCTGTGGGATCCACCTTTATCCCTGCTGGGGCATCCCCAGGATTCAGAGGGACTCGCCAGCCTTGGTCAGGGGACTCCCTGTTCCCATATTCCCAGCGTGTCCTCCCATCCCGGAGCCCAGGCGGGAAACCCTTCCGCCCTCACCTGGTTCCCTGGGCCTTCCATCTCTCCCTCCCCTGCCCTCCCACTGAGCTTTCGTCACTCTTCCCCTTCCCTTTCCACCCCCAGCCGGGGCCGGGACATAAACTCCTGCTCAGGGACACAAAGCCCCCATTGATTTCTGCCCAACGGCACCTGCTAAGACTGGGCTCCACCAATTCAGAGGGGTGAGGGTGCTAAGCAGAAGAGCCCCAAGCCTCCAAGAGGCCACGTTGAGTCTCCGTACCCCACGTCTTTTAGGGGGAACTCTCACCACCCTGGCTTTGGCAGCGGTGATTTTTTTTCCTAAAAGAACGTTTGTAGCCGGACGACAGGTCAGCGTCCCCTGACTCCTCTCCTGGCACAGTCCTCTCCCTCCTGTCCCTTCCTCCATTTCTAACCATCTCCCCTCAAAAAAACAAAACAAAACAAAACAAACAGAAAAAAAACAGTGGCAGGACTCAGAGGCTGCAAGAGTGGTGAGGCAAGGTGCCTGGTGGCCGCATGTTTCCTGGCCGTGCTGAGGCAGTGAGTGAGTGAGCAGGGGGCGCTGGACTGTGAGGAGGGAAAGTCCCATCTCTGGGGCTGGCTCTGGAGGCTGGGCTGCCGCGGGCACCACGTTCACATCACATATTTGCATATGTGCTGGGCACTGGTGACACACATGAAAATGTACACAATGCTGGGAGTAAACCGGACTGGGGACAGGCATCTCGAGCACCAGGAATAATAGATACCCTGTGACCGCATGAACAGAGCTGACAGACAGACAGCATACAAGGCACACTCCCCACACTCACACACCGATTGTGGGAGGTGTGCCTGGGAGGGCAGTCCGAGCCGACACTCCGCTCCCAGCGAGAGCATGTGTCTCTGTGTTCACACATGTGAGAGATGGTGCCAGCAAGCCCCACATGGGAGAAGGGGTTGAGAGAGATGGCAGGGTGTCACAGCAGGGGATGGCATCCACACCGTGACCCTGTCCTCGGCAGCTAAGAGCTGGGATGTGGGCATGAAGATGAGTAGCTCTCTGGGTGTGTGGGTGTGCAGGTGTGCACGTGAGTGTAGTGGCAGAGACACTGAGTGTGTGCGACAGGGAGTGTGCAGGAAACTGTGTCCCCGAGCAGTAGGGGTGTATGTGTGTATGTGTGCTGGGCAGCAGTGAGGGCGAGCCATGCACATGAGTGAATGAGTGATTCTCAGTGTCAGAGCCAGAGCCGGGCAAGGGAGCGGCAGGAACCAGGAAACAGAGGGAGGGACTGGAAAGCGGGAGAAGCCAGAAGGGCAGCATGAAAGAGGGATGTGTGAGAGAGCCTGTGAAAGGGGGTGTGTGTAAGAGACACACAGAGACAGAGAAGAGACACTGGCCCCCAGTGTACACGAAGATCATCGATCCAGCTTGCCAGTCTGGCCAGCTCCCCAGGAGGCAGTCTGAGTTCCTCCCTTGCCGGAGCCCCCCAAACACCCTCTCCCCATCACCCTCATTTGGTGAGGAGAAGAATCCAGTAGCTACAGCAGAAAAAGAGAGCGAGAGAAAAGTGGGGTCACTTGGTCCAGCCTTGGCATGGTGTATTACTTCCCCGCAAGCTGACCAGCTTTGGGGCCGCTGGGCCCACTCCAGGACCCCCGGCCTCAGACCTGGGCACTGCAGCAGCAGCAGAGCCAAGAAGAGGAGCAGCGGCAGCGCCAGGGTAAGCCCTTCAGTGTCCCCTGCTCCACGGCTCGGGAGCCAGAGGGAAACACCAGGCTTGGGGCGACGCGAAGCCAGCCTCTGGTGGCGGAAGAAAGGGAAGCCGTGTTGAGGATGCCCCCATGCACCATCCCCCACCCCTCGCCAGCCTCTGGCCACCCTAGGCCAGGCGGGCCAGCTGGCAGGACTCACCACAGAGAAGTTGCTGGCGGAGCAGTGATGCCCACTGAAGTTGCAGCTCTTGAGCATGTCGGCAAGCTGGTGGCCAGTGCGGTTGAGGATGTCTACCATGTCAGGCTCTGGGTAGCGCAGGCCAGCGGCACGGTGCCCGTCCCGGTCTTTGGGGGGCAGCCCTGTCAGATTGGCCAGGTGGAAGATGTCGGCGTCGCTGAGTGCCGAATGCCGGAAGCGGTTGATGTTGCAGAGGGTGACAGCCGGGAAGCCTGCCACTGGGGCTGGGGCAGCGGGGTCCATTACCACCAGGTGAGGCCAGGTCAGGTAGCCCCGGGCCAGGCCTGCTGCCTGGTACAGGAAGGCAGCCAACGAGGTGAGTAGGGCCAGTGCCCACAGGGTTCTGCGAAGTCCATGGGGGCCTGGGCCACAGGCCCGGCCCAGCCCATGCAGAGTGCTCGTGCTGGCAAAGGTGGCTAAGTCCCTGGGTGCTGCTGCCCCCCTTGCAGCCCCCAGGAGGCTCTGCTCATCCCCTGCCTCCTTCTCCTTGGGTTTCGCATCCTCCTCTGCAAATTTGATTTTGCACACAATCTCGATCGGCATCTGTCCCCCGCTGCTGGGACTAGCCAGAGCCTCCCTGCCCCTGTCCCTCCCTGGCCAGCAGTCCCCGGTGCCCTCCGGAGTGGCGGTGGTGGCAGCGGCTGCTCTTCTAAACTCAGGGCAAGCAGGAGGAGGACAGGGACAGGGTGGGGGCCCGGGGTGGGGGAGTCACTCCCACTCCCAGCAGCTCCGCAGCCCTGGTGCTGCCTCTGCCGCTGCTGCCTCTGCTGCCGCTTGTCTCTCTCCTCGATCGTCTCCTTGTGGCTTCCCTTATCAGCACCAGCACAGCTGTCAGCCCCTGCGTGTGTCCCTGCGAGCGAGCGAGTGAGCGAGGGAGCAGCGCGGCTCCGCCACGCCGTGCAGCCCCAGCCGCTCTGCTCAGCATGTGCTCCGGAGCCCACCCCGTGCTTAATAATTCAGGACATGTCAACAGCGTTTCACCGGCGGCACGGGCAGCAGGAGCCAGGCCAGGGGAGGGGGCAGCCCCCAGCCCAGGACAGGGATCCCCGGTCTCTGCTTGAGATCTTGTCGGGCTGTCCCCCAAACTCTTGCTATATATACCCTAGTCACTCATGGGGTCCTCAGATGGTCCCACTCCCAGGCCACACAGGGAAGAGTGCTGCACCCAGAGTCCTCAGCTCATTCTGCCACTTTTGGACCACGCCCCAGGAGGGGTCAGCCAACTCCATCGTCCAGCTCCTGGCCTCCCTGATTCCTGACTCCAGCACCCAGCCACCACCTGACCCCACTACCCGACTCACAGCGGCTTCCAGAAACTCCTTAGGAGAGCCACTTGTTTGAATGGGGGGGGGCGGGGGCAGAGGAAGGCAGGATAGACAGATGAGGGGACAATGGCGAGGCCACCAAGATTCTTGGCTTCACTTAGAGCTTTGCTCCTGATTTCCACACCTACCATACCCCACCCCTGCCCCCCATGCCGGCCACCCCTCCACCACTTTGCCCCACCCCCAAACTCTTTGTGTGTGTGTGTGTGTGTGTGTGTGTGTGTGTGTGTGTGTGAGAGAGTGACAGGGAGCATCAGGGAGGGAGGGAAGGAGGGAGGGAGTGTGTGTGTGTGTGTGTGTGTGTGTGTGTGTGTGTGTGTGTGAGAGTGACAGGGGGCACCCAGACCGATGTGCACATCTGTGGCCACTGCTTCCCTAAATGTTTCTCAAATTTCTAGCCACAAGCTGAGGGAGGTGGAGGCCAATGGGCAGAGATGCCAAATGGGGGTACTGGAGGGAGTAGAAACGTGCAGGGCTTAGATGGCAGGGAGTGTAAGCCTGAAGAGACAGATGCAGAGTGGGCAGGGTGGCCCTGGGGTGGCTGCTGTCCTGCGGGGGGAGCCAGCATGTGGGCTGTTATCACAGGCAGGGACAGCCCCTGGTGGCAGGCCAGGAAGAGATGCCCCCAGGGTGGGGGGGTCACGGTGGGGGAAGCCTGTGCTCTCTGGGGTGCCCTGGGAGAGCATGAACCCTCATGGGGGAGGAAGCGCTTGTCCCCTAGAGGAAAGGGGGGGCTGATTAATCGGGGCGCTAATGAGCAGCAGGGAGAGGAAGCTCAGAGGGGCGGGGGGGAGGCGGCTCCATCGATCTGAGCCGCGGAACCAGCAGCTGAAAAAAAAGTGAGAAGGGAATCGATCTGAGGGGAACGGCAGCTGCTGGGGATTAGAGCCTGAGGTCCACCCGCTGCCCGCTGCCCCTGCCCGGAGGCGTCTGCCCCTCCCCTGCACTGGGCCTGCCCCACGGGTTGCAGACCCTGCCTGGCCCCAGAGGAAGGGCCCAGCGATGGCTCCCCTGGGGGCCAGGGAGCCACTCTGCCCAACCTGGGCTGTAAGACTAGTCAGCCCTGTCATCACAGACCACCCCAGCATGAATCCCACCCACCCCTGGCCATGCATGACACTCTGCCGGGGCTGTCCTCAGCCTCTCATCAAAGTAGCTTCCTGGGGGGCGGGGGGGGCGGGCACTGTAGCTGGGCTTCCCCTCAAGTTGGCTCCCCCAAGCTGGGAAGATAAGACCCCTGGGGTCAGGGGCTGCATCTGACAGCATCCCAAAGGGAAAGCAGCTGCTGAGTTAGCGCTCAGAGTCGACTGACCGCAGATAGCACCCAGTCTCGGACCTCCCTCCAGGCAGCCCCCCTCCTGTACACCTCCCTCCCTGCTAGACTTCCAGTCTAGACCCTTCCAGCACTTCCTCTCCCACCTCCAGTCTTGCTCTTCCCCTTTCTCCTAGTATTGATTTTTCTTTACTGGGTTTTTTTTTTTTTTAAGGTGATTTAATTGCTTTTTTTAAGGTTACTTCAGTCTGGGTCTCTGCCAAGAACGTGGGGGACTGCCCCCCAAGCTTTCCCTAGTACTCGTTGCCGCCTTGGACTCAGTGCATGACCCTAAATTGTCCTGCCACCCATTGAAATCATGGGGTCACACTTCCCCCAACATGCTGGCCTCCATCATCAGCGGAAAGTCCACCCTCTGTCTTCCCGAGGGCCTGGCAGGAAGCCTTCAACCTCTAGAAGGAAGCAAGTTGGGTGGTAACCCAGTGTGGGAGGAGGAGGGAGGTTCCACGCCACTGGGAAGTGGAACAGCAGTTAACTGCATGCACCTCCCCCCACCACTGCCCCACAACCAGCTGTCTCCAATTGTCCCCAAGTCCCCATCATCTCAGTCTCCCAGACTCCCAGGAATCTGGTTATGCTTGGTGGGAGTCCCCCCCCCCCACCACACATCCTGTCAGCCCATCTTTTGGTCATCCCCCCACACCTCCTCTTCTGTTCCCCTCTTCCCCCTACACCCCCTTTCTCTCTGGCCCCGTCCTTCCTCCCCTCCCTCTCCCCGCTCCCCTGCCTGCCTGCCTCTCTGCCCGGCTGCAGTTGGGTGATAATCTCCCTCATTTAGCCTCCCGGCTGCTTCCCCGGCTCATTGCCCAGCTGGTCCCTGGGGACCGGCCCAGCTTCTTCCCCACCCCCATCCCCAGCCTAGCGCCCAAGCTCCCCCATCCCTTCCCTGCTTCCCCCACCCACTCCCAGTGGACCAGCTGCCCCCTGCAGTAAGCATCACGGCCAAATGTGGCTGGCCAGGACTTGAGTTGGGTGTGAGCAAAAAGGGAGGGGACTGTGAGCTGTGAGGGACTCTAGTTGGGAGTATGGGTGCTGGGCACATGAGGCACGGGGGTGGGAGTTGGGGGTGGTTGCAGGGTCTGGCTGTGAAGCCTTAGCCAGGTGTTCTCTGTCTTCCAGTTGTCCCCATTCCCCAAAATTGTTCCCAGCCCAATTCTCCACGCCCCCACCCAGGGGATGAACGAGGCTTCCTGACCACCAAAGAGAGCAGTAGATGGACTGAGAGGTGAGATTAGAGAGGCCTCTGGGCAGCTGGACAAGGGAGAGCAGGAGGGTTCTGACTCAGAGCACCTGGGAAGGGGTAGGTTCTATCTGGGCAAAATGCCCCAAAGGCAGACCTAGAGATCTCCCAGGATCCAGCTTGGGGGCCTCCAAAGGTGCCTCCAGGCACTTCCTACATTGGGGCTTCTGGAGCTCTGCCTCTTCCAGCACAGGGACCCCCAAGCTGAGCTGCATTTGCCCCTTCCCACCACATGTGGGCCCCATACTCTGCCTGGGTGGCCCCATTCATAAATGACGTGACCCCCCCAAACTCCTAGACAGCATTCTAGAGACTCCCCAGCCGCCCCCTGGTCCCAAAGGACACCCCCTTGCCACTCCCACTAGCTCAAACACCTGTCCCAGACCTGGCTCTGCTTTGGACCAAGGGATGAGCCAATGCAGGACAGACGTGAGCAGGAAGGGACGAGGATAGGGGGTGGAGGCCGGGACTGGGCCAGGCCTGGCTGGTGAGCGAGCAGCGGTGACAAACGGGCTGTGCGGGGGCCGAGGGGCGGGGGGCGGACGGCGGCTGATTTATCTGGGTTATTTATGCTGCGGACGAGGCAGGAGAAGCGGTTAATGAGAGTCCCAGAGAAGGGGGTTGGGGAAGCCCAGCCGTGATCTGAAGCGACTTAGGAGGGTTAAAGTCCCACCACCAGGCCTTGCCCCCACTGCTGGCCAGCACTCTGTACCCCTGACCTCATCCTAGGGCCAGCCCAGCCCAGCTCTGACCCTTCTCCCATAGCTTGTACCAACAACCCCCATCTCTTTTTGGAATGCCCAAGCCAAGACAGCGGGCCACTGGTACTGAAGGAGACCAGGGCCAAGATTGAGGGGCAGCTGGAGGAACTGGGGAGGGGACCAGGAAAGGGAAAGCAGGGAAGAAAGATGAAAAACTTGGCTGGACAGAAACTGACCAAGTCTGTGGGGCCTTAGCAGGAGGGGTGGTGGGGAGAGGCCAGTGTAGGAGTGGGTGGGCAGCTGGCAACCTCAGAACCGAGGCTGGAGGGCAAAGGGCATTGGGGTACGGATCTGGTGTCATCCAGGAGCCATCGTGGGGCCTGAGAGGCTGAGACAGGCTGGGGGTGGGTGCTGGTCAGAGAGGAGAGAGCCAGGGAAGGAGAGGGGAAGAGGATCCGGGGAAGGAGGGGGAGAGGGCTTTGAGCAGGGAAAGCTGCTGGGAACAGATAAGGCAGCACAGCAGCAGCAGGGATTAAAGCCGAGGGGCAGGGGCGGGGCGAGGCCTGGGACACGGAAGGCGGGGCAGGGAACAGAGGGTTGAGGGCAAGACATCAGGGCCAAGATGAGTGGGAGAAACAAGGGCTGCCAAAGGGGTAGGGCTTAATCGGGGGCCAAGAAGTGGTCATCGCCTAGCAAAGCGGGAGGAAAGAAGGGTCCCCTGCTTATCTCTTCTGAGGAGGGGGGTTCTTTTCCATCACTAGTGAGCCCCCAAACCCTGCACCTGTCAGGGGTCGCAGAGCTAAGTGGATGGGTGCATTGCTGAGGGTAGGGTGCTAGTCGGTTGTTGGGGGTGGGGTAAGTGGCGGGCGCCCGGGGAGCCACTGAGCTTCTGTTAAGGAGACTGACAGCACACAGCGCCCCCTTGAGGTGGGCTATGAAACCCAGCGTAACGGGTAACAACGGTCCAGGGGCTCAGCCAGCCCACTCTAGGATAGAGACCCCATCATGCCCAGGGTGGCAAGGACCAGTGTTTCAAATGGGATTTCTTTGTGGCGAGGGGTACGGGGATGGCAGGTGGCTTCTCCAGGCTCCTGCTCAGACCGGAAGCTCCTTGCCACCCCAGCCCTCCTGTCCCTCAAGCCTCCCAGAAGGATTCACTTGGGGAGGGTGAGACCCCTGCTCCCTCCAGAGGAAACTCCAGGGCAGTTCAGAGGTGACCATGGTGGCTGGCAGCGGGGAGCCTGGAGGGAAGGAAGAGGAGGAGGAAGAGGGGGCCGGGGGAGGGGAGCGGGGGTGGGGGGCGGGATAGAGTAATTTCGTGTTTGT